CCAAAAATACGCATCAGAAGCTAAAATAGGCAAAATAAAAATCTATTGAAACAACTCCGGAAGTACAATTAAGTGATTCCTTTTGTTAAAAGTCATAAAATCCTAACAAAAATAAAAAAGGTATTTTGCCAAACTTCCGGGCTCTAATCGTAACTCATATACTGTTCATCATTCTTTTGATGATTTTCTTTTTAGGATTGTTATTTAGAGTATACTTTATTGTCTGAACCTCATTTTGAACATTGAAAAGGAACTTGTATGTACTTTACAGGGATATGAATTTGAATATTTTAAAATCTCTGCTAACTATTAACAGAGCAATTTATTATTGTTAAAGAGCATTTTTTACTATAACGTTAGGTTTAGAGTTTCAAATTGGGCCAAACAAGAGAAATAGTACCTTTAGGGAAAAATCAGATTCAGATTCATTAGCTATAAAATGCTCCAGGTTGATACACTATACCTTGAACTTTATTTTCCTTGTCTTCTTTCACCTTTCTCCAACCTTTCAAGTAGTATCTCTCCTGTTTTTATTTTCAGGCGTGATTTGTTTCTTAGCTATTTGATGTTTCCTTGTATCACACAGTCACTCCTCACAACATAACAGGTTTGATGCACATCCTTTCTAATATTTGGGACGGTATATATGTGTGACGTGTATTTAGAAAAGTACAAATAAATCAAAAATGAACAATTGGAAACAAATGGTTTTAAGCATTGAAAACTACACATCTCGATGCACATTTCTTCATGGAAAAATGTCATTTTGAATTAAATGAGTTCTTTAATTGAGCCATAAGAGAATTTTCACTGCTTTTTTATCCGAACAGGCATAGAAATAGGATAAAGTTTGATTGAAATAAAGAATTTCTTTATTCCACTCAAATCTAAACAGTTTGACATTTTCTTTATGTGACATCAGTGCAATTGTTTTGATCTCCGTAGTGACACTGGATCTCCATAGTGGACAAGAGAAATTAACTTCACAAATTTCTTTAATGGAAACTTTTAAGAAATTGCCATTCGGGTAAAAATGAGATTGTCAAATTTTCAGATCAATCAAAGGGGTCTACAAAAATATTTTTTCTTAGATGCTCATTTTCAGTTACTTACCCTTTTTATTAAAAAGATTTTTACCATTTTGCAAAAAAAATTTAAGTACCATCTGAATGAATGCCCCAAATGAATTTTAATGTAATCATACAACTAAGGAATTATGATTTTATCACTTTTGCCTCGAAAGTTCTGGTTTGGATTTCTGCTCGTTTCAATTATATTCTAAAATCAAAAGAGGTGTTCTTAATTTTATTTTATTTTATTCTTTTTGGCTGTACTTTCATGATATTGAATGTTGTTAATTTTTTTACCAAGAATGCACAATATTTTTCTCTCACAGATGTTTTAATCTTCTTTTTAATCTTGTCCACATTATTGCTAAAACCGTGATTCATTTATTTTGAGATAGTGCTTCATTGTGGATAAGAGACTTTCTTGACTTCCATTTTTAACTGCAACATATTACTTCTTCAGATTTTCAAATTAACATTAACATTAACATTCTAATTATGTAAGAATATTCTTAAGAATAAAGGTCAAAACATCTTACTTGTTTTCTTACTGTTTCATAAGCCAATCAGTTTCGTGTTGTTTGCATGCTTCATATATCATCTGTCCTTTTAAATTATTTTTTTTAATTTACAATTTTTGAAACCGCTATTCACTTTTTCTAAAAACAAGAATTGAAAAATAATTTTTCTGAAAACATGAAAGAAAAAATATTTAATTCATGCTTAATTCAAACTTGTGTGAATTGAATGAAGCAAAATTCCAAACATGTGCTCTTTAAAAATTATTTTATATGAAATGCTGCATTTCGTGATAAAAGTTGTTTCCCAAAAGAACAATAAACATTTAAATCAATATTTTGGTGTCAGTGCAAGATCAATTTCTACTTAAACTTTATAGGAAAAAAAATATTTCAGAAAATATGGAATCCTTTTTAAAACATGTCCAAATTGTTTTGAAAAAAGGCTATTATTTGTGTTATATTATATAGCCTTTGGGAAAAATCTCAGTTCATCATTTAAACCAGAGATTCCCAAACCTCTCTTGAAAGAAGGGCTTGTTTGCTTCATCGACCCTCTTGCACTTTTCTCAATAATATTCAGCATAATCATTTGTACACAAATAATTGCTCATAAACAACTTCAAAATGACATTTAGACAACAAATATGAAAAAAAAAGGTTTGAAAAAATTGTATACTAGAATTAGAATGTACATTTGTACTATTGTCATTTCATATTTTACAAATAATTGCTTTTCCGAATTATGGTAATAACACACAGAACCTGTTTTGTTCAGGAGAGTGTGATTTAACGAAACTTCATTTGCTTTCTATTAATCAATGATATTTAAATAATATCAAAAAATTGTTTTCTTTTGATTTTTAATTTATGAAAATAAATTTTATAAAACTCTGAATTTTTAAATATTAATTCATAAAAATAAATGGTGATTTCTGTCTATGAAATAGCAATGCATCTGCTTCCAAGCAGCAATTGGTGTATTAATCAAAGACAGACTTATTCCACATAAAAAAATATTTTTTTAATCTGATTTACTTAAGAATCTCTTTTTCTTCTTTGTTTTTTAAGATACAACAACAGTATTCCAGAAAAGCAATCAAATATAAACAAAATTAGATTCTAAGTGACATAGGTTCAATTTTCATTCATATGAATGATGTGAAATTTCAAAACAAGAGTAACTTCATATCAATTCTCAATTTTATGAAAGAAAAGAATTAATAAGAATTTTTATAACCCATGAAATCCTGATCTTAATGATAAGTTTGTTGCTGGTGCACATTTGGCTGTTGACCCCCAAGCGACAATCTAAAAATCACTGACGTCTTTCAAAATTGTATTGATCCTGAACCATGCCAGTAGCAACCACTTTGCAAATATATTTTACTAAAATACATTCAAGAAGTATACTCTTATGTCAAATATTAATAATGCACAACACATACGTCCTAGAATCTCACCTCCTTTCAAGCTGTTGTATCATTTCGTTCTTATTCCATCATGTAGATGCTTGAAATTCTGCAGGAAGAGGTGAACTCCTTTGAAAATTTAAAAAAAAAAAGAAAGAGGTTTTTTGAATCATGAATATTATTTCATAAACAATAGTGTTATTAGCATACTGCTTTTGTACAATGCACCTGTTGAATTGCTTCCTCATTTTCTTTTCCTCTGTTTTAGTAAATTGCAATACTTTAACTCAGAAAATTCAAAATAAAAATTGAAAGTGATGCATCTTATTTTTTGTACTTCCAAATGTTTAAATCTAATTTTCATGACAAGCCAATATTGCAAAAGCATATAATAAAAAATATTTCCAAGTTTGAAGGTCAAAATGTTCAATCTTTCTCACATCATCCACAACCTTATCCTTTGAAAAATGTCTTTTCAATGCTCTATTGATTCCTTTGGCAGAATCATATGCCAATTCATTTCTTGGATCTTTTCTTCCTGCTTCATGAAAGTTCAGACACATTCATTAAAAATTTTGCACACAGCATCACTCACAAGGATGTTAAAGATTCTAGTTTAATAAAATCATCACAATGAGCAATTTAGTCAAAGAAGTCTTCCTGTAATCATTTGACAAAATTTCATTGTATAAACTTTTAAGTATGTCGGCTACAGGATTAGGTTTATATTTCGTGTAATATTTATTTCTGGAATAAGATCAATGAAATTTCTATCCTCTACTGTTCATTTTTTAATTTTTTTCCATTTCTTAATAGAAAATACGTTATAAAAGTATTCGTGATATTGATAATTATGGTTAAGAGTTTAAAGAAATTAAAGTTACTTTTGCTATGTTATTTTTTGGGGAAAAAGAGGATACAAAGTCTTTATGGATCCGCAACAGTGCTTCTTTCATTGGGAAGGCTAAAGAAAATTGTATTCAAAGTATAACCTTTTTAAACCTACTCAAAATCAAAATCAAATTATAAACCGGAGTGAAGTCTTTGGAAGAAATAAGCTAAAGTGTTACAACTCTGTAGTTTTTCCAATTTTTTTTCCAGATCATGTGTACCTTTTAAAAAAATTAAATGTTTTGCAGATTTACAGATGCATAATTGAAGTAAAATACCCAGATAAAAAATATGACTTTCAAGACGATAATCTGAAAATTCGATTAAAGAAGTAAGTTAATACAACAGAATCTGAATGTGAATTGAGAATAAACTCTCAACACATCTTGTGTTAATTTCTCTTTACCTGGGATGTTATCCCCTTTAAAGTATAACTTAGCATTGAAGATAAGTTTAAAATGCTGCCAAGTGAAAAAGAAACTTTGAAAATATTAATGTGACTTTTCAATACATATTCCAACTTTAAAAGACAAGGCTATGAGAGCAACCTTCAAAAAGGTAGCGATACTTACAATACATTTTATATGAATTCTGCCCATTACAAGCTACTGTCACATTATTCAACAATGCAAGGTGCATGCTACATTTATCTCACAGAGTTCATTAGCTCTATTAACATTTCATCTGAGCTTACTTCCCAATTTCTGAAGCTCATTATGAAGTGGATTATGCAACACCTGTCATTCTGTGTGTGTCAGATATATCAATCCCTTCTAAGGAAATGTGAATACATGAAATCAAATTATAATGAATAATGGTGGCATAAATTTTACATTATAGGTTTGGCCAATCTATCTATCATTTTCAACAAACTGGCACACCATGAAGTGCTTTTAATTATTAAACATTGATGGATTTTTTTTTCTTCCAAATATTTCTCAAGAGGTATCTCTCAGATTTATTGGTAGAATGCTCAACAAGCTTACTGGCTAGATCTCGCATTATTCACAGCACTCTGAAAATGCATCAGGAGAAGGAAAGGTGAAGGTGAATCATCAACACTGGCAATAAGGAAAATGTAATAAAATACAAACAAATTAAAACACAAAGAATGTGTCAAACTGGTGAACTGTATTGATTCATCTATTAAAGAAATACAAAAGCTAACAACATCTGTGAAAAGTTAAAGAGGAAACATGCATGTCTGAAAAGTAATATAATTAATATCAATTAAATCATGTACAAGTATATTCTTTTCTGCCTGAATAAACAAACATTTTTATGACATTCCAGTTTTTTTGCATAATGGAATATAAAATGAAATCAATATTCAACACACACATGTGGTACAATTAATGGAAATTTAATCAAAAAACATTTTACTGGTGGTTTTGAATGTCTTAACTACAACAGACAAACCAAAATGACTTGATTCATAATAAATTATCTCCACAAAAATATCACACTCAATCAGGAATTCCTTCAAACCAACTTGAAGATGCAATCACAAACCAAGTGTTTCTACATCCAGAGTGAAGTATAAAATGAACAATATAAGAGAAGAATTTGTTTCTCTCTGCCTTTGTTAACACAAATTAAATAATGGGAAGAATAGAGAAGCTTTAGATATACAAGGATTATGGGTTTTCTATACATTCAGCAAACCTTTCATAAATTATCATGGAATTTTTTCCAAGTGGCTTCTATATTGACTGTTTCTTGAATTTTCTTAGAACTGTTACATACAGCTGCATAATGTGAAAATATAAAAAATTACTTTTATATAATAGAAAGATCATAAAGGTCACCTCTTAATAAAAGGTTAAGCTTTATGACCAAAAGAATTCAACAAGTACTTTCCCTTCAAGTTACAGGTAATAATCACATGATTTTTTGTGTCTTATTAATTACTGATTTCACTGAGATAAAGCATCAGTAACAAATCAGTTATCACATCCCTCAACAATTGTAAAAATGGGCCAAGTTTTAGAGTGCAGTTTAATGGTTTACCTTGGCAATCTACACATTTCACAGTTGACAAGATCAGCTTGATTGAGAAAAGTGCAATGTGGGCAAGTCCACAAGGAATTGTTTCCTCCACCACTTGCTGCAGGCAGACCAGATCCGAGTCCACTACCACTCGCAGACCCAAAGCCTAGATTAGCTCCTGAAGCTACCTCAGCAAAGGCCACACTATGGGGGCGTGACTGTGGAGGCGATGAGGAGCTGGCAGCAATCAGCTGTTCTACTGTTGCCCAATGTTCAGAATTGGACCAATCTTGAGCTTGCTCAGCATTCTGTGTTTTGACAGCCTCTAGAAGTGGTCCCATATACTCCTAATAATTGAAAAAAATGTTAGGAGCAATGATTCCTAGAAGTATTTTAAATGTCATAGTAAATGCAATATTCAATCTTACCTTCATTGGTAACATATCCATAGTAGAAATATATAACAGGAAATGAAAATCGGATGCAGCCTTCAGAAACTGATCTGGAGGAAACTGTTGCATATAACTGCTCAGCGCATTAAAGTCTTGAATATGTCCATCTACCATTCTGAAATTTTAAAATGAAATGATAATTTGCCTGATCAATTTTAAACTCTCTTTCTTTTTGTTATCACAATTCTTACCTATTCTCTACTGGAAAAGGTTGAATATCATTGTCAGCATGAAATGTAGAAACTGGGTTGATTGGAGTGGAGGCAGGAATATCTACCAGCAAATATTCCACTGGCAATGGACGTGCCAAACGTGGCACTTCATTGCCATAGCTGTCCTTTTCCTGAAACACAAAACAATTAAAAAAATAATAAAAATATACTTCTGTACCTTTTTGCAGGAAATCTCTCTTCTCTATCAGATCATATCAGTTTCTGAAGGCTGCATCTGATTTTCATTTCCTGTTATACATTTGAAAGCTGCAATTGTATGTTCTTTTGTAGGTTTCCCTTTACAATATTTTTCACTCTCTTTATTCCTTGACTTTGGAAGAAAACAAAGATAACACATTCGGTGCAAAATAATTTTTCATTAATATGTTTGTGTTACATGTTTGCTTTTAAAATATGAATGTTTAAGTTCCTAGGAGGAATCTTAAACTGTGTGTATGTGGTCAAAAATGTCAATAATTAATAGGCCTCTTGAAAGAGCTGTTTGAAGACAGTGCTTCAACTAGTAATTAAGTCCTTCACACTTTCCAATATTACTAATGCTATCAGCTCTTCAACAACAAGCAAAACAATAATACCCTTTGAAAGTTGACATAAAGATGAAACACTTTTTTTCATTAATATAACATTTTGAAGTAGTATACTATTATGCAAAAAAGAAAAACAATTATCTTTTTGAAGGTTTCCTTCCATCTTCAAATAGATTCTAAGGTGGAAAAGTACAAAAATTTAAATATGCCTTTATATTTTTTAATTTATTCTGAGATATTAGGGGAGAAGACACTCTTGATGATTTTCTAGATAAACACATCAGTTAAAAAATGTATGTTATTTTTGTAATTGTTCAAGTTCAGTTGGCTATGATTTTTGAAACTCACTGTGCCAAAATAATTTTATTTTATGAGGATACTTTCAAAAGGTTATTAGGTTTAGCAATTAATTTATTTATCTGAATTACAATTTGTGTGTGAAATTAATTTTTTTATTAATTCATAGTACAATACTTAATTATCAAAAAATTAATTTTAATTACAACTTTAACTCTTACAAATAAAAGAATCGGTTATTAGGATTTGAATTTTTACACCAGATGTGTAATTTGATTTGTGAATGTAATTTAAATTGTTCTCGAGGAAACTATTGCTCACAGCATTCTTGAGTCTATACTAATGGTCACTAGTAAGCTCTGCTGCAATTAGTATTTTGAGCCAAAACAAATGATTGCAAAAAGTACTTGAGGAAAATTTTGACTTGCTAGAAAAGCATTCCAACACAGACAAAAAACGGAAAACAGCTCTAAAACAGTTCAAAAAGTTGTTCCAGAAGTTCCAAGATTTATAATTGAAACATGTAGATTTTTTTCATATTTTTATTTTTTACATCTCATTATGAAATAAAATTATTTTCTATGCCATTAAAATAGTTCAGATTGCTCCTAAGTACAACAAATTATAATTAAACTTCTTTTTACGAAAAAATCTTCTTTTTTGGCCAGTGAAAAGCTGAAAAACTAAGAAAGTAACAAAACTATAAAATTACACACAGCAGTGCTTAGGAAACACTAAATTTATATTAGTTTTTACAGTTGTAGTATTTATACTGTAATTTACATTTATGTTGTTAAATTAATTATTTGAAAAAGAAACTCACCCTGCAGATTAAAGTGAATTATCACTTATTTACATAAAAAACAGTTAAAAAATATGTGTGATGTGCGATGGAGAGAAGTTATTTAAAGTTATTTATGTCCAGAAGCAAAACAAGGGCCCATCTCAGCATTTACTCATTGTGCACAATCCTGGTTCTTTTATTTTAAATACCCTTTTACACAACATTTCTTTAGCAACCTTGCAACACAGGTCTAACACATTGCAAGTTAGATGAACTCATCATCACAGGCTTGTGATTAAAACTTGGCTAATTAAGTTCAAATCTGACTGAATTAAAATATTTTATAATAAAAACTGTCAAATCCACCTTCAGTTAATTACTGACCAAGTCTAATTGCTTTGGTTAAAAAAAGTTCAAGTTCAGGGTGTGTTTCAAAACTGTCAAAGTCAAAACATTTTTTGCAATATTTTCTTATTTAACATGCCATATTTAAATTTTAAGCTTAAAAGCTAAATAGTTGTTAAAAATTGAATCAAACACTCAACAAACATTTTCACAAATAAGTAGTTAGTGGGATTTTGTTTCTCCTGCTTTAATTACATTTGTTTTTGAAAATGAATCATATTGACCTCACAAACTAAACAATGTTTCGACCATAGATGTCACTTCTTTCATTATTAAAATTGAAAATTCCATTATTAAAATTGTTTGCTTTTGTCACAAGTTGTAACTTAAAGAAAAGGTATGCACAAATGAATTCAGATAACACTTTCTTCAGTGAAATATTATATCTTTGAGTTCAAAGAAGCGTTTTTTACGTTCATTCCAGCACGTGGGAATTATCACAAGAACTTTAAACGTACATTATTTTCATAAATGTTATTTTAAATTTGCGGAAAAATGTTAAAATGCACATGCTAGCACGAGAAATACGAAAAATGTTTACTGGATCTTAGAAATAAGCACGGAAATTTCTTTTCTTTGTATGAAATTGCAGTGTCTTAATACTAATTAATCATTTATTATGTTTTTCCAAACCAAAAGATATTTTAATTCAAAGAATAAACCTTGCGATACAGAACATGATGTTTTAAAATTTCCGCCTAAGTGTCATACAGACGACGTTGCACACCGCGTTAGTGATAGAAAGGCGCGGATAGATTGCGCAGCATTCTCCTTGAGATTCAACTAGCAACATCGTCCGCCATGCCAAGTGGTTTCAGTGCAAACATCATGATGTGGCATAATGTTGGAAGTTAGGGCCGATTAGACGCCGGCGACGGCCTTTCCGCGTAATGTAAAATATAATCGTCGCTTTCTCGTTCATCGATAAATTCGTATATTCGTGTAAGCGCTTCGAATCGTGAATCGTCTTCGCCGTAGCTCGTTCGCTACGTTAATGTATTTTTCCCTCAACTGACTTATTTTTTGCTGTGGCAACAACGCGATAAACACGGTAGGCTTTATATTCAATTTTATGTATTTCTAACTAACATGTTCTGTAATACGGAAAACTTGGATTTGTAAATAAATTTCTATCCTTGGTAGCATATTTTACACTTACTACCCCACTCTGTGTCATGTCGTGTTTACATCAGTGACGCACAAAAACAATAAAAGCTTGTGGCGTTCAGAAATGCCACATGAACGCAAACTAAAATGCATGATTAAACTATGATAAATTACTTTACAAATGACAATGTAACGAGAGTTTAACATTCCGTAGATATGTGCGTGAAGTGACATTCGTGAGATAATAAAGACAAATACAATTGCTGATATGTCGAACTTGCACTATTGTTCCTATGTTTTTCCCTCGTAAGAAATTCTCGGCACTGAATCAAAATTATATTAGTTTATATAAATTTAATGAATTTGTAAAATTGTGGTCTTAATTAATAATTACCAAATGTTTTTGAGGACTGAGATTAAGTAAATGTTACTAGAAAAGCAGTACTGAAATTTTATCAAAATTTAATAGTTTAGATTACTGTTGCAATTTTAAATTTAAAGAAAATACAAACTGTCAATAATCAACACCACAACTTTCTCATATACAATCCTACACACTAGTTTCTTCATTGAAATATAAATGATTTCACTCCACAGATGATGGAACCTGGCGTAATACCAGAACTCGAAGAATTAACACTCTGCAGCTTTTGCAAGCAGAAGTTCAACGATACTGACCTCTGCCCGAAGTTACTAAGTTGCAAACATTATTTCTGTCTCAACTGTATTCAGACAGCTCTAATGAAAGGCCGAGAGCTCTACTGTGTACATTGCTGGAAACGAACAGAACTAGGGGAACAAGGAGCTGACTCGTTGCAAACCTACAGTGCTGTTCTCACACTTGCCAAAAACTTCACATCACTTAAAATTGGGCCAGGTGGAAGTGGAGGAGCAGCGGTAGTAGGAGGAAATAAACCTCCTGACAAGGATCGAAAGGTATAAGTTGTTTTTTAAGGTCTTTAACATGGTAGCATTAATGTACTGTAGCCCTTCATATTATCTAATTGTTCTTCTTAGGTTGTACCTAGTGAGAATTGCCATACACACGGAATGCCTCTAGCTTTGTGGTGCCACACATGTTGTGCAGCAATATGTCGGGCTTGTGCTACCCAACAAGATCACCCTGGCCATCAAGTGAAATCCCAAGGTGAAGCCAAAGACCAGCTGGTGTCAGAGGTACATTTTTAATTCAACAACTCTATTTTCTTGATACTTATGTTACCTGAAAAGCATGTTATTTTTAACTTGCATTCATTGTTTTTTTAGGTTCACAATGAGTTGGTTGCCATGAATAAGATGCTGGGAGAAATTCAACGACTTGCTATGCAGCAAAGAGATTTTCTGCTTAAAGTTCTTGAAGCATGTGTTACGTTAAAGACACATGTAGAAACTGATTTGCAAAATGGTTGGAGCCATGTTCCTGAAGTTGCTGAGGCACGTGAGACACTTAGCAAAGCAAGAGCAGGTTTAGCTGGAGTTGATGGGCCAGGTGATGCGCATGTTCTGTATTCGTCGCTGTCATTAGAGAAACAGCGACTCCAGGGTAAATATCAGGAGATGTACTTGCAGTGCCAACTAGATGACCTCATTGGGAATTCTGCAGTTGTCTTTGACTTTGGCTTGCTGAAACAGGCCTTGGCCAACATTCATTCAGGCGAACCTCCAATGCCTGCAGCTGTACAAGGTCGTATTCCTCATGTAGCTGCTGCCCAAAATCCAATATTGTTCCTTGCAAACTACTGTATGTCACAATTGTACTCTCGACATGTTTTGACTAAGCAACAGCATCATCATCTGCAGCAAAACGGCACGGTTGACTATCATCATCCCCCTGTGCACCCAATTCCTCATCACCTTGTCAACGCACCACATCCGCCGCCTCCACAACACGTTATCGTTGCTCCTCCTCCAACGCCAGTAGGAAATAAGCCACCTCAAGCTTTACCCTCGGTTCATCATTCACAACCCCCACCTCAAACTCCTTATGCCCAAGAACCAGGTGTTGTTGCAGTTCCTGTTCAATCTCCTCCACAGAATGTCGTTCAACTAAATGTTCGTGGTCCATCAGGCCCCTACCCTTTGTATTATTTCAACATCGATGTGAATGGTTCACCACATGGTCGAATTGTCATAGAAGTTCGTCCAGATGCTGCTCCCAAAATGGCAAAAAATTTTGGAGTTCTGTGCACAGGTGAAATGGGCGTTAGTTACAAAGGCTGTGCAGTATTCCAATGCTGGGAAGGAGAATCTGTTATCACCGGGGATTTTGAGTTGAATAATGGGCGGGGTGGCAGATCTATATTTGAAGATGGCTATTTCATGCCAGATGATACTAAGTTTCCAGCAGTGAGGGGGGCAGTGGGTATGCGTCGTACACAAAAGCGACATGACAACCTCGGTATGGTTGGATCCCAATTTCGCATCATTTTGCAAGAGATGAGAGGATTTACTGGCATCTTTGGCCATGTAGTAGAAGGTCTGGAGTTAGTGGAGAAGATATCCACCTTTGGAGATCAAGCTGGAAAACCAACAAAGACTATTGTCATAACAAAATGTGGCAAGCTCTAAGACGGTTTCTTTTCTGGTCAAATCAACTAAAGAATGCTGCACAATGCATGCGCTGCTTGATTCAGAGAAAAGCCTGAGTTTGCAGACATCAGCTCCACTGATGGGAGTCCACATTTGCTGCAAAGTAGAATGATATTCAATGAAATGTCAAAGTCAACTTTGAAGCAAGATTAGTAACTACTACCAAATCTGCTAATTTTTGTGGTGTCATGAATTGTTAAAACATTGTGTGTTATGTATTAATTTTGGGAAATCCAAAATTAGACCACAACTCAGTGTAGGGCATTAAGTAGCTGGCGCATACAATGTAAATGCAAGTACAACAAAGAAACAAAATATTCTTGTAACAGGATATGAATTGATTTGAACCAAGTTGACCATTTTTGTTTAGAGAGCTTCGCTTATTTTTACCATGAATGCACGAATTTTTTAAAACGAGGATAATTCTATTGTCAATACAGGCGTAATGTGTTGTAACCATGCATGGTTGTTGATCTCAAAATGCGAAATCACATGGCCTAACTAGATAGAAATTCAACGGCTAACTAATGAGTGTGTGTAAATGTGTGTGTGTGCCTATAAGAAAAGGGTTATAATTTTCTTCGCCAGTCACTGTTAATTTCCTCCCAGAAAATCTTCCTTCCAACTCGAAATGTTTTTTGGAGATCTGTTTTCGAAGATCGAAAAAATCGAAGCGTAAATGTTTTCGCATTCCTTCACTGTGTCGAATCAAAAAAATATAAAAACGTAAAAAAAATAATCGTAATATGCCGAATAATCGTTCGTCCACCAACAAATCTTGATAATTCACTTCTCAATGTTTGTTGAACTTGATCGAAAGTAGTATAGATCAGGTAATCGTCGTTTCGGAATCGTTATCGTGAACATTAGTTTATTTTTAGATTGAGAAATAAATGTGCGATGGATCTACACGTGTTCTGTATATTTCTAAACTAAGAAAAATGATCGTTGTTCATTATAGATGAACAGGAGGGGCGTAATTTAGAATAATTTTCTGTTGAGGGGGGGGGGGGGGCGAAGAAATCGTTTTCTTTTTATATATTTTCAGAAGAAACCAACGTTCCAATGTAAACTTTGGAACAGTTAGTTATTTGTGAAAATTAGTTTATTTTAAGAGGGGCGAATTATGCATGGTTCCGCAAAGTGTAAACATTAATTTCAATGACAGAAAACCTCATAATGAAGTTAAAGAGTAAAAGGTTTAATGAAATTGTGTTTTGTTAGAGACTTGTGTATACTATGTTTTTTTAGTTAGTGATGATTATGCAAGACTGGCAACCTATTATCATTTGATAATTTTAAACATGCATATCTTCAAGCATGTTCTGGATCTTACAGTTTTGAATTAGTTTATTTTTGTGCCCATGGTTATGGTGTAAACATCTGTTATGTTCAGATATAAACTAGTAGATTATGTTTAAGAAGTGGACTGAAATTCTCTATCCACAGACACAAGATGTGTTAATTTTAATTATTTCTCCCCTTTTGTTTATCCTTGTAATGTGCAATTTTGATACTGGGTTGCCTCTCTGATGTAAAGAACAGTCAAATACCGTCAGAAAACCATCCTTATTTGTGCCTTATAATCTTAGCTGCAAATGCTTCCCTAGTTTTATGAACGTGGTGTTATACTCTGTGTAGCGCATAGATAGTTAATTATTTAAATAATTAAAAAGATGATCATTTATTATTGAAGTACACACCTTGTTAAACGTCCAAAAATTTTAAATAAGTGTACGTTATGGAAATTTAAGAACATAGCAAGTACACAGTTATTGAAGCAAAAGGTTCTACATGCTCTTAGTACTTAAAATCTATTGCAAGCCTCCTTTCATCGTTTTCCAGAGCTCTTATTATCTATGTGGGCATTAGCTTAGAGTGCCATAACCATGCCACATGATCAAATGATTTGTACTATGGCAGGGACACATTCCAGTTAGTCGCTCTAAGTAATAAAATTGTGACACTGAAATACATGAAACGAGGCAATGTTTACGCCAAATTGAAAAAGATTTGTTATATTATTGAAAACGAGAAAGACAAAATCATCGGATCATCACTTTGCGATATCATTCATTGCTGCACTGAGGAAGTGCCTTACAAAAGTTTGTGATAAAACTCATGTAGCTCCGTTCGATGGAAATATAAACATCCTAAAGGGAAAATCTGTGTTGTTATTCCAAATACCTTTCCAGCCTATTCCATAACACCTAAAACACCCTGATGGACAGTAGGAGGAAATGATAAATTGAAGATATTTCCTTAAAGGTAAGATGATGCTGTGAAGCATACTATTACTATCTGCTTACTAAGTGTTGTATTCATGAATATGTTGTAACTTTTCAGCAAATTAGTAACTCAGTTAAAACCCTTTCATTGAACTATTTCAATGTTTTATACAAGGGAGTGAGATTAATCTTTTCATCAATGAACTGATAACTTTTTTATGCTATCTTTTCTTAAGAAACCAATTTTGATTGTTCTTTCCATTGTTCTTTCCATTTACACAAAAAAGAAATATATGTGGTGATAGACGATAATGTGTGCAATAAGAAATGTATATTTCTTGGCATTATTTCTACTGCTTTCATATGCATACAAAGACACACAATTTTAAGACCGGTATTTGAGAAGTTTGATTTGCTATTTAGATGATCCTGCACATACCTAGAATTTGCAGAAATATCCCAGGGGAGGGGGGGGGGCAGAGGCATATGTTAAAGAGGAAAACTTTTTCATACTATTTCTATTAACCTTGAAATAAATTATCCCATGCATTATCAACAAAGTGGTCTTTGGATCCCATTGCATACATTTTGATGAGTTGATTGATTGATATAACTATTAATTTACATCTGCATTCAGTTACACAGAAAAATTGAATGAACGCCAAGCTCTTGAAATAACAGACTTTCTCTCATTAATATTCGTATGTCAACAATTGTATGCAACCCTATGACATTTGTATGTCAAATAATAACTTTGCATAACATAGACATGTATTACTCTATATTATGCTATGACTTAAAACACTACAAATGGTTTCAAAATGTATTCTTTTCAGTTTTTCAGTGTACAGTTTCGAATAGCCTTCACAAATAGCCAAAGACCAGGGTAAATATCAGATTGTAAGAACTTGTTATATAAATTGCACAGAATTTTAAACAAAAAGCACATCATATACAATATTAATGATTTTAAACATTCTTTTAAAAAAATGAAATGCACAACAAACAATTGTCTGGCTTCTTGGTGACCCTCCTTGGTAATGCTAAAGAAAGGACAACAGATACTATAAACTTCAATTTTCTTTTGTCCAGTAAGAAAAGCCCTATAACACAACTCAATTCAAACTAGATTTTGATTATAATTTGATTTTTAGTATTGGTTATGAGCCATTTCCAAGTAAAGCTTTGCATGTAACAAATGTTTCAATGTTTTCCATTTATGTTTAAAGTGAAGGGCTTGTTACGGTAAATAAGTATTAGATTAATTCAGAGCGCAAATGCATGTATTTTAAACCCAGTATTGTTGGTTTTCCATCAAAATTATAAAAACTTTTTTTTTCTCTGATGTAATAGAATTCACAACGAACTTGAAATTACGATGGAACCAAACATTATGACCTACTTATAAGAGCCATATTTTTTTTCTTTACCATTTCTAAATATTTTTTGTCTTATGAACAAAAGTGTTTTTGTTGGAGGAACTTTCATCCAAATTAGTACAATCTTCAAAATCTGAATTGCAAACCAACATTCCGAACACAAGTGCTTAAATTTTCTTCAGAGATTATTCTTGTTAAAAAGCTTTTCATCAGCTCTCTTTTATTTTTTCATAATTACTTCAATATCTTGCTGATATTCTTTGTTTTTTGAAGTCAGAATTTTCGCTAAGAAACCCGCTTTTATCCTTATTTGTATCGTAACATAAAGCAATGATACTTATATATTCTATGGTAGACAGTGAAACAAAGCCTACAATGGGTTGCAGAATACTCAATGAATTTAACTCCTTTTTGTAAGAAAGTCATGGAATAAATCCAGGTAATGTTTCATCCAAGTTTTAATGCCAAAATAAACAAATTCCTGATTTTGTAGTGCATTAAATTGCATGCTTTTGTTTCTAATTTTGATCTCAGAAAATCGGTACGGTTGTATCTCTACAATAATGGAACTCGCATCTGAATTGAACCAATATTCCAAGACTAGTGTTGGATTTGATGTACTTCTCTAACAGTTTAGTTAAATTCACTGTAGAAAAACAAAGAACATGTCAGAAATAATAACAAGCATATTTCAATCATGAACGAAGGGCTGATTATAAGTGAAACTATGCATAATATATTTCAAGCTTCTTAATTTACAACTCAATAAATATGAGAATGCAAATAACGTATACAAAGAAAATCTCTTACGCTCTTTTTCTACTCCACTTGAAATTTTTTGTTAAGATTTGTATCATTTCCCTTGTCTGTCTGTAGAGAGCACCATGCAGAAGTGAGGTAAGAGAATGAAAAATGTCAATATTGAAAATGTAATTGTGAATCTAGTAATCAATTCTGATTTCTTATGTATGAGCATGTAATTTTATTTGCTTTCAGATATAAGATTAATGCAGTTCAGTAAACCTGAACCGTGTGTTTATAAGCTATTTTTTGAAGACTGCTGCAGCTCTGATCAAGAATTTTTTTTTCAAAATATCACTTTACTCTCTCTCAGGTAAAAATTAAAATTTAAAATATATTTCAGTTGGATTTTAATCTTTTAGGCGATCTACGCTGACAAACAATCAAGAAAGGGATTTTGGCTGCTCATAGGCTGCATTTAGTTCACAATATGAAATTTTGTGGACCACAATTTTTTTTCTTGTTTTTTCCCGCACTAATGAACAAAAAAATCATCATTTCAAACTTGAGAAAAGAAGCTAGAAGTAAATAACAGAAAGTTTCAAAGGGTCTTTTAACAGTAAAATTACTTTAATTGTCTACGCTTTTAAGATTCAGTGAAACCTATAGTAAGCAACCACTGTTTGTTGTGTGAAAAAAGTTGTTTTTAGAGGGGTGGTTATTTAGTAAGGGGAATCTGAATTTTTTATTAAATGATACATTATTACCAGATATCAGAGGTGTAGGAAAGTGCCTATTACAACAGATGTTTATGAAGGGTTTTTGGTAGATCAACATTCCGGCATTCTTTTTAAATGCATTTAAAAATACTTTTATCCCATTCTCTTTAAAAAAATAAACAGAAAACTGTTCAAATGTTTATTATTATTATTAAGTACTCCCAATATTGGTTATCAATCTCCAGTATTTTGTGTAGACTCTATGACATATCAGTATCTGCTTGGTTGTTTGGGAGACGCTGTGCCCCAGGCACAGATGCCAATATTGCAACCTTCCTCAGAGCGAAATGCGATAAAGTAGATACTGACTCCGGCCACAGAAGCCTACCCTCTCTGACAAAGAATGTGTTATGCATACCCAAATGATATGTCAAGTGTAAATCCTCACTTTTCTTGCACTTCAAACAATTTTAAACAAATCATTCTTTTATCCTTCAAGCAAATGGATCTAGGCTGAGCACTGGTTTCAGATTCCACATGCAACCCAAACACTCGTGTGTTATGGGGCATGTCAATAATACTGACTTCTGAGATTGATATTCTACTTCACCAGATGTCCTTCCTGAAAGATAAGTTACGGGAGCCTCCGTCTCATTTAAAGAAATGAAACTGAAACGCAGTGTCCAGCAATGATAACATGTCAGAAGCCACATTTTATTGTTACTTAATTCCCAGACACACCCTCCCCCCTCTAATTTCTTCAAGAAAAAGCTGAGGCACAGGACATGTCAAGGGAATGCATTTTACAATGCCATTTTCATTTTAATTCTTACTATTTTCCCCAAAAGTGTTCTTATTAAAGGGATAATTACAAAATACATGCTATTAAGGGGCTGGGTGGTGTAGTGTCCTGTTAACACAAGTATAATTTCCATAATATATATATGACTGTGTCCATTCCAAGAAAAATCGGTCATTAACAGAGGTGGTCTTTTAGAGAAGTTTCACTGCAGTTACTGTTATAATTTTAATTATATTCTCAATTATGTTTCTCTATGCTCCAAATCAAAGATATTAAATTTTACTATCACTTTGTTTGTTTTCAAATCCATTTACTCTTCTTCAAAAGCATTTATGGAAGCATGGATTTTAAAGCAGAGCAACATATCTGGGGCACATTTCAGTTCTTTAAAGTGTATGCTACCTTGGCTCCACACTGAGTCTAACATTAGCATAAAGTGATGTTTTACTCTATGATAATTTCAGCCATGGTGAGACAATAGTGTTTTCATATTTCGTTTGGGGATGAATGTTTATAATGAACTGAAATTTGTAGAACAATTGTAGATTTGCACAATCAGTGGGTAAAATTTAAAGAAATATTTGAGTTTCAATTTGAATATTTGTTAGCAACTGGATCTTAATTTGAGGTTGAAAGGATCCAGAAAAAACATTCAAAAATGTTAATCTATCAGAATCCTTGAATGAGATTTAACCTTCTAAGCTGTAGAAAGCTTTCAAAGAACCACAATGGTGTTCTGATGGAGAGCCAAATGTTCTTGGGAATAAGAGAAATCCAGGAAATGTATTTCTAGCAACATTTTGAGATTGGATTTCACAAAATTATATCTTCCTGTTAGATGAAAGGAAAAAAATAGCAACATAAAAAGAAAGTATTAGAAAAGAAACTGAACAGTTTCTTCAAAAAATTTTAGGCAGATGCTGAACCATTCCAACAGAGCCTGTCAAATATTTGTCATACACACAAAGAAATTGTCAACTTACTTTATATATGTGTAATTGCTGGAAAATGAAGCAAAATAATTTTAAAATAACAATAAGATCAAGATGATTGGAGGCAATTAGGTAGTATGCAACATAAGTTGGCAATTGTGAAATGATCACAATATGTAAGAGGAGCAGCTGCAAGATAAATAAGTTTGTTTCAAATATTAAAGAGATGACTAAAATATATATCATTACAAACTGCAATTGTAATGATTAGAGCACATGATTGATCAATAAGTCCAAAAATAAAGATTATGTGCAATGGAGATGGATTCATGGGCAACAAGCTACAAAGATTAGAGGAATTCAAATTCTCACAATGATTCTGTGTTAGAGCCTTGAGAACTATTCCAAGGACAATCAATGTCACAGATGAGGATGAGTGATGATGGACTAAAAGGTAGAGAAAATTGAAGAATCTTCAGAAAATTTCTTCTGAATCAGTTCTGTCCACCAAACATGGATTGAAACTTGGTATCCAGAAAAAAAAATCTAGGAATGGGTGGACAAATTAGAGTATTTCTATATTTATAAACTAGTTTTCAAACATATGACATTTGAAAATTAATTTGATTGAATTGTATGAAAGAGCTATTATTTTTTATAGTATTACTTGTTTCATTTCCATCAGAGAATGTTTCGACATTTTTCAGAACATGAAAAATACTCAATACAATACAGTATGTTGACTGAAGGGACAGGCCTTGCTATTGCTTTGATGTCAAGCTGTATGAACACAGAAAAATCAAATCCATAATTCAGTACATTGCAATAGAAAAATAAAAAAACATTGCCTTAAGGCAAAAACATTCAGTATTCATTCATGGAAATGTAGCGTAGGAAACTATTTTACCTGAGAATAATTATTTCAGACTATATATCAGTTCTTAGACCAGCAACATGGGCCAGACTTCCGCACTAAGTTCAAGTAGGAGCAATTTAAATATCATGAATCGTTGAACACAGGGAATAGTTTTAAGGAGTTTAATGTCTGGAAAAAAGTTTTTGAAAGACGATGTTATCCCCTCATAGGTCCTTGCACAAGTCACTCAGATCTTTGTATTAATCATCATCAAGAAAATGTTGAGAATACAAAATTGGATTATCGCTTGCACAGAACCATTTTTTTAACATGTTAATGTTGACCCTTTCTCATCTTTCATTATTTTGCAATGTTCTGGAATTGTTCTTAAATGCTTCTATAAAATTATGAACGTCTTCTATTTTAGTAACAATGTTTTCCAATACCTATGAGGTCAAAACAGATTAATTTACAACATAATTTTTTCGATTTTCTTACTTGTCTACTGCAAACTTCATAAAAGTGGGGGGGGAAATGTTGATTTTTTGTACTTTAGGTTTCAAACCATTCATCAAAATTCTCAAAAACCAAGATTTTTGCTATTTATGTTGAAATACATAAGTACCAGGCACTTCTTTGTGCTCTCAGTAGTTGGAATATCTAATTTTTGAAAGACTTTCTGAAATTCAAATTTCCAATTGAAATTCCAATGAAGCACTAACATATTTCCAGGTCCAGAAATGATATACATAAAAGTTTCTTTTTTGTTTTCTTTTAAAGCCAAATGTACTTTTCATGATACAAACCTAAAGAGTGAGGGTATAAGCATTTAACTACTTCCAAAAATAAAAATGAATTTTTAACAATACCCAAGAAAAAAACGTAATACAAAGAGGGTGCAACATAACTAAGAATGTATTATATAAATTACTATTTTTTGAGGTATACAAAAATTTAGCAATTATTTCCCTGATATGAGAAGTACAGGGCAAATGCTTACAGAGTTTTCTTTATTTTTTCCCTTCCATTTTTGTGCAAGTAGGAGGAACTAAAGTTTACCAAGAGTGAATCAATGCAATAAATAAGAATTTAGGATCTATTAAATTTCAATTACTTTATCATTAATCTAGTCCTTTCAAAATTCTCATGAACTCGTCAGTTTCTCTTTCACAAGTTAATGGGAAAGCATAGGCTTCTGCGGTCAGAGTCAGTTTCACGATGACAACGTTTCAGCCATCCTGCAAACAACCTTCCTCTGCATTTCGCTGAGGAATGGCACAGCATGATGGCTGAAACATTGGCACCTACGATGCAGCATCCATTCTCAGACACTCATCTTCATACTATAATTTAATACTGAAATTAACTCATTAGTGTCATGTAGTGCCCGGAGGCTTGGCAAAATGCCTTCTTCTTATTGTTGTTACAATTTTAAGAATTAAGCAATTCCTCTTACTGATCTATACTTCTGAAGATTTTCATTTCGTCATATTTTAACTTCTTGTTGTTTTCTCTTTTTTTTCCTCCTGGCACTGTTTTTGATCGAGATGGAAATGTGCCTGCAAGCCTAGACAACATAAAGGTACTATTGTGTTTTATCACTTTGCAAGCAGATGCTCCACAACCAGGATGTCTAAATGAGACAAGAAGGTGATTTTCAGTCAAAATTTTCAGATTTCTTTAATTAATGAAAACAGTCTTTTATGCCTTTTGAGAATGGAACTCTCTCACACAAGTGTGAAGAATTAAAACAATTACGTTTTCATTAATGCCATTCCAGGATTTAATTAGTATTGCATACATTAGCATAGAGACAGCTTCGAGAGCAAAATAAATTTGTAGTGTGCCACTAAGAGCAAGAGCAATCAAAATTTCAAAGAAAATATTGTTTCCTTCGATGTAAGTGCTGATGTAAATTTTAATGTTAAAGTAAAAAATTTGAATCGTATTAATTATTAATTTTTTTACAATAAATTCTTTTTAAATTGTGATTTTCCATTCTTTACATGACTTTTTTTTTGCTTGCATATTTTAGAATGCCTGAACTTCCAAGCTTTAGTGATGTTTTGATACAAACTAATATTTTTTGTGTTTGTATTACAATGAAAATTTGTCAATTATGACTTTCTTCTCTATATAATTAAGGAAATAAAATATAAAATCTACAACTCTTTCACAATAAAATATTTTCCTTCTAATGAATACCAAATACATCTAGGAAATAGTACTACACTCCGAATAATTTGATTTTTTATGATGAAAATGACTTCTTCTAGGACAGATCTGTTTTATAGCAAAGAGTTCATTCCTCAAGAAGCATCCTGAAACGTTAGTGTTGTTATTATGTATCATCTGTGTTGATTTATTATGAAATCCATGTCGGTCATTGCAGAATGATGTAAGAGGAGGTGAGTTTTGGTGTGGTAACCATTTCTCCCAGTGACATCCATTAATGCTAAACCAAGACTCTTAGGATTTGCTATTTTAAATGCACATAAGACACAAAACTTGATTAAACATTTGTTCAGTTTTCACCAATATTACTGCACTACTAATGTATTTATCCCTGAAGAGAGAGAAAAAGATGAAAATGATAGGTATTGTCCTGGTTTCAGAAAACAACTATAAACACTAGTAAACAAAGAATAACCAAAGGGCAGATAGAGAAGAGGAACCATGATACATTCAAAAGAAATGTATTCTAATTTACAATGTACAATGTTCAGTATTTTGTATCAATTTTGAACATACTAATTATTTCTGAAAAAATTTTTTTTTTATATTTTCTGTAGTATAGAGTAATTATAATACTGCAGTGAAAAGTGAGAATTTTTTGATAGAAACACTCTGATAGCAGCTCACTGACACCTAAAAAGTAAATATTTCTTGCTCCTTATGTAGTAAATTACTTTCTCTAGTCCCAGTGGACGTTTTGTGAAAGTAACACACAAAAAAAGGGGGTTTATAGCAAAACCTCCATTTGTCAAACTGTGAACAACACTAGTGCACACAAAGATTTTCACCAAATTTAATATTTCCACATCGATCTGATTACTTTTGCAGCCCCTTGGGTTTGAAAAAGATATTTTAGATTCATTTCACACGATGCAAATAATGTTTTTGAAATTTTCTAACAGATGGCACACCATTTTTACTTTCTCTCTTTACTACATATGTAGTAAGGCAAAAGTATTGTAATCATGCGGCAAATCTTCAGGGTCTAGTAACCAAAAGGTGAATACATATTATTCCTTTATGTAGTAAATTACTTCCCCTTTATACGTCATGTATTAAAAATCCCTATTTTGTGGATCCTTGATACTGTAAAATTCATTGTTGGCAAAACGTCGTGTCTGTGTATCTGTCTGTCCATCTGAGATCAACGCTAGCACCTAAAGCTTACAGAATATTTTCTCCAAAATTGATATTCTCCAGTAGATGTGAACAAATTCAAAACCCTGCGAGTTCAAAACGGATATTTCAATTTTGGGGGAGTACTTGAGTACTTTATCTAAGCCTAAAAAATGACTCCAATTTTTTTTTTTAACTTTGTTTTGGTTTAGCATTAAGAGAATTGTGCAGGCCTCGTTTTCATTAAAAAATTTTATTTTTCGAAAATTGCAAAAGTTCAAACTTTTTGCAGCATTTTCTTACAATTACAATTTTTGACAGAATTTTTTTTCTCTAAGAAATCTTATTTTCAAAGACAGTTCTTGAAATAAGGTCATGTGCGATTTTTCAAGAAAGTACACCACTAGTACTGCCTTGTATCTTGTCATAATTTCAAAATTAATTCACCAATAAATTTAAAAATTCCAAGGTTGTATGTTAGTCTTGTCGTTGTCATCATTTTTTTCTATTCATTTACACATTGTGAAACAACCCGATACAGGAGGACCCACAGTATTTGTTTTCTAGTGACCATAAAATATTCTGTTTATATTCTAATGTTTTCTTCATCTCTATAATCACATTAGAACATTCACCAAACCGAACGAAATTTTAAAAAGTCAACAACTTGACAGCAATAATGACGAGGTAAAAAATACAGATAACTTTAAGTCTTGACAGACTAATTCTTTGTATAACCAATAAATGCTTCTTTACAATACGTTGTATCAAACTTCTTTGAATTTGATGTTCAAGAGTGCAATAATGATGATGATGACAATGATGACAGTGGTTTCCTACTGACACCCAATAGCAACAACTTTTCCAATTATTCTATTCACATTTGATGCCACCAACTCAGAATGAATAGAAGGGGATAGCACTTCATATCAGCTGAGCACTTCTGTCATGCATTTCTGATGACCAACATTAAACTTTCACCTCATTGGAAGTATACAGACACTACAAGTAGTGGACTGAAAAATATCAGAAGTATAGAACTGAAATCTAGTATTCGTATTAGACTGCCCGCAAAAAAATCATGCAGTGAGTATGTGGCAAGATCGGTAAAGTGGCATAACGCTGTCTCTGAAAGGCCTAACTATCAAGCAGAGGAAGAGGTATAACATATACATAATTGCAATATTTTTTTTTCTAAAGTGTGGTAGCACACAAACATTGAAAAAATAATGCAATTCTGTTAGATATTATTCACATTGAAAAGTAAATAAAAACATAACATAAAAAAATGTTACTATGAATGGACTGATTCCCAATAATGATAACTTTAACTTTCGATAACTAACAATGGTAACTTCAATTTTCCGCAAGTGCATGAGATTCACCTTTATATTACAAGAAATTCTTCTGATTGCCAAACGACACAGAGAAATGTATTAATTGTAAGTTTATTTTAAATTAAAGTAAGGCAATTGAATACAAGTATGTTGCAAATGTTTCATCAGCTTAATTTGCAGATCACTTCAGTGCCTCCAAAAAAAAGTGCAAACAAAAAGGACCATCCGTTTGCTTTGCCATATTTTTAACCAGAAAAACCTCCATAACATATTTACAAACTTCACAAAAAACACGAGTGAGGATAAGATACATAGTGGTAAGCAATAAATCAATTGAATCTGTACCCCTAAGCCTTCTGAACTTCTTACTACTAAATAGCTTACTGTAACTTCTATTAATTTTTGTGAATAATTTATAATTATTATAAATATACTTTAAAGAATTGACAAGTATTGCAGTGATAGTGTTTGTCATTTTCACAGTTTTCATCAAAGAACGTAATTTTTCTGTCTATCCTTTTGGTGTTGTATTTTGGTATTCCTTAATATATTAATTATATCCATTTTTGGCACTTACAAAATCTGTAGTTTGTGCAGATAAAGCATTTGCAACATGTTTTTATTTACTTATAATTTGTGTTGACTTGCTGTAATTAAAAATTTCAAATAATTCATGTTGTCTGAATTGATTCTTTGAAAGTAAAGTAAGAAATGTAGTTTCCATTTTGTTATCTTTATGACAACAAATTCACAAATCACACAAGTGTATAATTATATGTATGATAGAATCATTTGAAGTTTCTGAGTCATTACAACCTTAATATTTCTATTTGCTACCTCTGTGAATGTAATGCGCGTTTTCATTTTGCTTATAAATTAGTATTTTCTCTCATTAAATTCCCTTAATAATCTGGAACTTTTTTTATTGTTGGAATCTGATAATTTTCTTCAAATTTATGAAAAATGCATGTTAAAAAATATACTTCCACAATAAAATTCAAAACTTATTATAAATGTAAGATAATGGTATTTTACATGGATAATATAATATTAACTTTAAATGTTCAGAGTTCTGCATCATTCTATGTATGTTAAAAAGACATGTGCACATCTTACCTTGTAATAAACATCTGGAACATACTGTTTGTCAGAAGATTCTCTGATGTAGCCAAGTTCTGGAGCATCTTTAGTGGGAACGAGGCAATTATCTCGAACAAGGGCCATACATTGGTTGCTAACACCATAACCTTCCATGTGGACTTGATTACTAGCATCTCCTGCAATAGAAAGTGAGGAGGATTACTAAAACTGTACTTTGCTATTATCATCAAATTACACGGAAAATATCAGGCAGCAGTGGCAACAGTTAAGTCCATTGGCCTTTATTGTTTTTTTGACTCTTTACAAAAACTACAAATATATCAAGAATGGATGGAGAAAACATATGCTTATCTTCCTGGATATTAAAATTGAAATTCAAAAATAAACAAGAAAATGACAAAATCACTTGAAGATTACTTCACATTCTTATTCAACATATAAATTTTGTTTCTTTGATTGATTAGCGATTCCAGGCAGTCAACTACTAAGGTCATAAACCCCGTAAGTGCAAAGCATGTTTTAATGTGCGAGGTGGCAGTGAGCCCTTGCTGACTGGGCAGATCTGGCACTGACGTATATCGGTGTATGGGAATTTTCTCCAAACAGGACACTGCTCCAGCCAGGACAAGCTCTCTAGAATTCTAACTAGTTAACAAGCTAGTTGAATGCCAAAATAAAATCTTTAATTTTTCACACATTTTGTAGCATGCCTACTTTTTGAAAAAGGGGTTGTTGCTTGGGCACTTATGGGGTTGTGGGTCTCTCAAAAATGTCATCTTTCCTTAGGGCTTATGTATAGAAGGGATTGTAAAATATCACATTTGCTACTAAGAGGCAAAGAAGACACAAAGAGAACCTAGTGCCATGAAAATCAGAAAGACTGCTGCCTGTATAGAAAAAAACGGGAGACTGGTTCTCCAGCCGAGAACAAAGATATATAACATTGGACATAGTTTCAATTTGTTAAGCATATTTTATTAGCTCGCATATCGTCCCTTTGGAATGGCAAGGTTCTGACTGAAAAAAATCAAAAAAGTTATGTTTATCAGAGTAATAAAAGTTCAATATGACTTCTGCTACTAGTAGGACATACTCTGGCTGCCATCTGTAGACAATAGCTTCTGTTAAAAATCACTGTAGGTGGAGAGATAACTGATTAATGAGATAAGGAAATTTGAACATCAATTTACTTGAAATTACTGAAATGCTAGTAACTTTGTCATTCTAAAGGGATGATAGTTGTACCTGTTTTGTAATTTCTTCTTTTTTCCCTTTTTTTTTTTTGGTCTTTACTTAATGATTAATAATAATTCAGGTGTTCCAAACCCATATGAATAATAAAAATAGAGATTTTTTCTGTAATTCCCTAACTGTTTGCTACTTTGGGATGCTTTTGTAAGCTTTACATTTATTAAGTGAGGTTTTGTTGCCTTTTGCACTTACCTGTAACACATACTGTCACAAACTTGGATCCAAAATTTCCAACAGGAGAGAACCGACAAGGGTTAGGATGCTTGTTTTGGAAATAGCCAGCCATAATACACTCTTCTGCAGATAAAAAGTGAGATTCTATATTTCTCACATGTTTTACCTGAAAATGTATATACAGAATAATATATACACATAACTACAATCCATTATTGTTCTTATACTTTAATTTACATAGTATACAACACTCAACTTACTAATTTACATAGCAACAGCACTCAAAACTGCATGTCATCAATCAGACCACCAAACAACTTGCAGAAGAGTTATGTCACTATATTAATTTGAAATCCCAATTTGTGTGGAACCACTGTGTGTATTAAGCTAAATTATTTCTGATCCCAAAAATGCAGTAATAAGAACAATGCATTGCCATCCATAATTTAGTGTTATTTACTTAATGAAACACATTCTTTATGATAGTGTCCTACTGAGTCTGTCTGACTTGTGTCAACCCTTTCCAATAAAATGATACACAAAAGCACAATGACATATTGCATATTTATGTTGTCTGAGGTACTATTGTTGTTTTTTTTTCTTTCTCTTTCTGTCCGGGCAAACCTTGTTTACTTCACAAGTGTAACTCACATGGCATGCTTTCCTCCGTTAGTGCTGTGCTTATCAATGGTTGCGTCAGAAATTGAAAGAAAACTATGCACCCACTGATCATATGAGGTGTCTATGGTTTCAATAGATCACGATGAACCCAGGGAAAATCCAAAACAATGTTTTGATTTTGACTAAAACATGCAAACATTTGATTGTGTTATTCCATCTATTCTCATACTGTGCTAGTCAACTGAATTCTCATACTCAGTACATTGCGGATTATAACACAGATGCCATGTGACAGCAAGATTCCATGCAAGAGGCTGCCTGCCATAAAATACTTGCTATTCAGGAGTTGCTTTATGGAACAGCAAATTTTTTTTGTTATTCTTAGTACCTAAAGAACTGTTTATCCCCATGTAGTATACTTTGATATTATTTTGTTCATGAAAACTGTTTTGACAAAAACATTTAGTTTATTAAACCGATATTAATGATTTTTTATAAAAAAGAAAAAAACTAATTAATTTATATTCATACCCCCACTAAAACAACTTTGTAAAGCAAGGTTTAATTAATAGAACACTTTTCAATAACACAAATAAAACACTGAATAATTTATGTATGATATAATGTTTATATGATGGATGTGCTACTCCCAACATTAGGTTGATAGGGTATTAGCCGGTTTACTGTGCCTTGTAAAATTAAAATCCATGCTCCCAATCAATATCCTGATATTTATCATCATACTATTGACCTCTACCCAGAAAATAAAAGTCACATGTCTCAAGCACATACACACCACCAAAATAATGATGTAGAACATTGTTTTGACCTCACACCATAATGTCAATACAACCTAACAATCACATGATCTGTAGTATCATAAGAAAAGTGTTTCTTCAATTTCATTAATCTTTAATTGTAGGTAATAATACTTGTACGAAGATTTCAAGAATACAAAATTGTTTAAAATAAAAGGCACATTAATGCTTACTGTTCCTTTTTTAACATCATCCGCAATGAGATCAGTAAAAATCCACCCAATACGGCGCAGTCCAAGTTGTCTAGCAAGTTCTTCTACCAAACCTTCTTTTTCATCTGGAAGCAAAACCACAGAATCACGAGTACTTTCTTGAGGAGGTTCATAAATAGCAGCCACGGAGGCTCGAATACCAAGAGGAACATCAGCATGAATTCCATAATTTCCATATAGAAACCCAATACGTTGATGGCCTGTGCTGCGCCAATAATTTAGAAACCTTTCCACTAAATGTGGATTTTCAAACATTACATTATCAACATGACGATATATCTGGAATGAATAAACATTTTTTATTGTACAAATCACAATGTTACAATACTAAACTCATAAGTCTATCTAATAAATGCCAATGATATAATAATGAATTCAGTTTCCTTTCCTACCTGACGATTCAAAGTGATTGCATTCGGCTGACATTTTGAGCAGATACCTTTGGGCCAAGGAGGATGATCTTTGCATCCGGTTTTGATTCGACAGCTAATGTCTTCTAAAGAAACAAACTTGCCCCTGGAAAAATATCCAGATAAGAAACCAGATAAAGTGAATCAAATTTCCTGCCTCATATTAGAAGTTATAACCTACCGATCCACCCCTGCAAACAGTTTTCTAAGATAAGCGTGAAAAGATAAATGTTTTATATTTTGGTCCTTTAAATAAGCTTCATCAAAAGGCTCAAGTGGTGAGCAATGGACACAACAGCCATTGGATCCATGACGACACCTACAAACAAAGTAAGAAAAGCTTCTAAATTTCTGACCGTAATGCCAAAACCAACAAAATGATACAACTACTTACAATTTTTCATCTCTTTTACGTTGGACTTTGCCATCCAATTTAAACAGTTCCAAATCAACATCATCTTCTTGCAGACCTGATGTAGACTTTTGGGAAGTAGATTGGTTAGATGATTGAACATCATTAGAGACTACATCACCATATGAAGAGGTTTTTGAAACTGTTCCAGCAGAACTTGTACTCGGCCTAGGAGATGGTTCTTGTGACCACAGCAATGCTCCATTTAAAGGGGCCATATACAGCATATCACCATGACATAAGCCAGATCCACGAATTGTCCTAGTACGAGTGGATATCAACTCATCTTTGCATCCTCGCTGCCGATACAAAGCAAAAGCATAACCACTCAGTTCAAATTTGTCATGTACCTGAAACAGTCCAATGCACACAATCAGTTCTCAAACTCAACAATAATATTCAAAAATTAATTCTTCAAAATGTAATTCAATAATTGAATTATACTAAAAACCTTCTCAAAAAGCTGCAGAATAGTGTCTGAGGGTTCAACATCAATTCGTTTTGTCCCTTCAGGTGACTGGATTCTTAGAGTCTGAAAGGAATACGAGAAAGGAAGAATTAAATTTGACATCATATTTTAGGTTATGACACCATGGCCAAGTTATTTTATGGTTACGTGACAAGTACAATAATAAAAATTCAGACGAGAGTATGAAAAACAGTTTTTAATTTAATCATTAATCGATCTCATTGCTTTTTTATGGTATTTTAGAGATCACTGGAAAGGCATTACAAACGATACTCATTGGAAGTGCACAGTGACGAAGCAACAATGAATTTGACACAACACAATTTTAAGAATTTAATGACCGAACAAAAAGCAACACCAATTAAAAGTTGATAATTCGCGTAATATATGTTTCAAATTCATATATTTATTCAATGATACAAACTGCTTACAATATTCTTGCATTTTGACATGTTGGTGTTTAGACCTCTCACGGTTTCGAATCAGCTGTTGCCACCGCTCTGCTGTTTCTGCACAAGACTGGACGGAAATGCGACGGCATAGGCGCACTGGAAGGAAACGTTTCTCAACTTCCGTTCACAACAAACTGTAAATTTGAAGTACATTCATGATGGTATGTACACACATATTAATTATATTCTTTTATATTGAATACTGTGAAATTGTTTGAAAAATCTGCAAAATTGATGGTAACTGTGCCCACGTCAATATCAATACCATCTTGGTATTCAGTGCTTATCTTGTTATTGTTATTTTGATGTTTTGCCTTTAAATTGTGTTATATGTTCATTAATGCCATGCTACACAATTTTATTATGGTTGACGAAAATAGTCATTGGTTTGGCAAATCATGTTACTTGCGAGAAAAAATAAAATTACGATTTTCATATGTGCCATTGGCATGAATTGCAATATCTCGCCAATTTGTACTTCTGAATAACATTTTTTTGGGAGTGGTTATCGCCACTAATTAGCTTTTATTTTAAGGAAATTGAATGTGTAAATATGCAGTGCCTGAAGAAAGCAAAACTGCCTGAAGAGAAGTACAACAATTGGCCTCCATAGATGTATGTTTCATAACCTGTACACAAATTGAAAAAAAAAGAGTAAGAAAAAATTGTCATTGTCAGACCATACATCAATTTGGATTTATTTCCTTGGAATATCTCACTTTTAATATTTCACTTCCTTGGAATGAATTTTGCCATATACATAGAGATTGCATTTTTAATAAATAATATTTAAAAAACACTCTGAATTTACTTATTATAAGTTCCTTCAGCTGTTTTATAATATTAGAATTAGAAAAAGAAAAAGTAATAATATTTGATTTAATTATGTATGGCAGTTGTAATTGCCTTTTTGTTTTAATAGAATTGTGAAGTAGGCAAAGGAGTAAATGTAATAAAGTTGATCCTAGAAAAGAAAATTCTTAAATTCAAATTATTAATTTTTAATATAAAAATATTACATGAAAATAGAAGTAGTTTTTTGAAACATTCAGCAACTTTATTTTATTCAGACTCTTGAATGCAACTAGAAGATAGATGTCATTCTGGTAGGCTGTAATAAATCTTTCAATTAGCTTCAGATCTATGTTTAATTGACTTTTTTTATCTGTTTTAATTGATGTATTTGTATATATATTGATGTATGCCCTGCAATTATTTTTGATTTGGATGATTTGTTGTAAATGCTTATTACAATTTTTGTTGTAGAAGTTCATTTTGAGAGATGTTATTTTGTATCACTATTTTTTCTTCATTTTTCACTTCTTTTTTATTCCTGAGAGTACTGTATGTACATACTTCTAACTATTTTTTTCATTTTTTTGTAGTAAATATTTTGTTTATTTTATATTAGTTTGATGACAAGTATTATATTAATTTGTATTTAGGGGAAGAGAAGTCAACACAAATGAATTTATTTTATTAGGTTAGATTATAATTTGCAATAAATGCATCTGCAATAATATAAATAATGTCTAAAATTATCTTCGTAATTGTTAATACATGGTCGCCAAGTTTAAAAATTGTTTCGTAATTGAATACATGATTGTATTTATTTATTAATAGAATACAACAATGAGGTATTTCAAAGAGTGTCAATTTTACCATGATTTAATGATGATAATTATATTTTTTAAATTCCCAATGAAGGAGAAATTTACACTGAAAAGTAAGCATGAACAAATAGCTGTGTAATATTTTCTATTCAAATGACGTTTTGTCAAGACAGTGCAACCATATAAGGAATGTGTGTTTTAAAGAACTGTCTACTGGTGAAACCTCCCACGGCCATTCATGTGAGGAAAAACTCACGTATCAATGGATTTTATCCCAATTTGTTGGTAGTTGTCAATTGTGGAAGATTATTTTTAAGAAATATACATTTCCACCCCCATCCCCCTCCTCTATCAGATCTACTCCAAATTTTTGTTTTAAAATGTGTGAACACAGAAAAAAGATAATTATTTGCCCAAAGCGGATTTTAATTTTTTTGAACCTTAGGAATGTGATACTTCATTTAGCTTTACATGACCCAAAGACCTTTTTCCATTTTGATAAATAGTTTGATGTTCATGAATATTCAGATATATCATAACTAATTCCTGGAAACAGCGGAGGAAGTATACAAAAGCCCTAAAAACAGATTCTTGTATGGAATAATGGGTTTACGGGGACTACTTTGATCGTGACGTTCAGTTAGAAATATTGACGTTTGGGGAGGGAACAGCGTAGACGGGAGTGTTCGGCAAATTGCATAACGCTCAGGCGCCAGTCGCTGTTTACGCAAATTCATAGCTACCTCGATACTGATGCTGACCTCGGTGGGACAGAAGCTCGGAGCTACGTCTAGAACGCGGGTTCGTAGGCTGCGGTTTTGAGTTCCTCGCAAGACATGGCTATTTTCACTACATTATTCTGGCCTAGTTGGCTTTTGAAGCCACCACGAAACGTAATTGTACACAATTCCACCTATAGTCATTGATTTATCATTGCCATTCACCCTTCATGATTACTATACCATCCTTCATACAGTAGAAGGTAAAGAAAAATCGGTGAGATCATATGTTCAGGAAAAAAAAGACATAAAGGAGTAAGCCCTTCCGAAATCAACGCAACACCACAACATAACACGTGACATGAGTGATGTAGCGCCATCGACGTCGAATCGATCAACGACGGTTTTGTCGAATCCGTCGATATGTAATATAACTATGATTCGATGGAAATTAGTTCATAATTGATGCTCGCAATGCTTCCAAGAGATGTTACGGGAAACTCATTAATTACAGATTTCGAGTAGTCATGAAATTTGAGCTGTGCAGTTAGGTAATTTAACAGAACGGTCAGAAATGCACTAATTGAAAGAATAAACTATTTGTCTGTGAAACGAGTTTCATTTTTTGAAACGCTTTTGATAGGATTTAATCGTTGCGTGTTCCATTACGAGTTTTCATTGAAAATGCTAATTTTCGATGCTCTCCGTACTAAAAATGGACTCAGATTGTACTTCATCAAGATGAAGCAGGTCGTTATCAAAATTTACCTTTAAAAAAATCCTATGACTGTTTTAGGAGATGGGGTAAGTTCAAAACAGTTTTATTAGATTTTTTAATGAACGAACTATGATCCAATTGTAAATAAGTTTCTGGGACCCCCATATTCTTTTCTTCAATGGCCCTCATCTCGATCAGTTTTTTTTTATTTTATTTTCTCTTGATTCATTGAACAAATACTGAGGTAGACTCTTGTTTTACTTCTAGACGGTAAATATAACTTCAACCTCGTACGTCACAAACCGTTTTCATGGTTTCCTTTATCGATAAATAAATAATAAACCTTTGGCCGATTGTCCCTTTAAATTCATGTTCGGCCGGCCGTCGGCGACCACAGATTCGGATGCTTTGTGAATTTTTTGTTATTACTCCCTTTACGGGTATTAATAATAATAGTGTATGGGTAATAAGGATGAATAATAATAAAATAATAATAATAATAATAATAATAATAATCTTTATTTGGCTGATTGTCTGGTAGTAACCATTAGTCCAGAGATTTACAATACACACGTCTACATTTACAATATAAAAACAATTTAAGATACAATCCAATAGAAAAACTACAATATCAGTGACAAAAGATGGTACAATGTAGGCGCTGCCTTTAGAGGCCTGTGCAAATCCAACCGTTAACTTTAATAATAATTTTATTAAAATTTCGTACACATACGCACTGTTTTTACACACTACTAATACATAGTTTGACTCTCCAATCAAACTTATGACACCTGAATGCATTTACAGTTGCCTGTGCATACTCGTACATGAATACCTATTCACACCTACATTTATAACTCGTACATTCACACATTTACATGCTGTTTAGATAAAATATACTTTCCTCCTGTATATTTGAATTTTTAAGCCAGCTCTCTAAACGTAATTACGTCTCCACCCACACCGCCACTTCACTGCTCTGCACTTCACTTTCTTCGGTTATGCCAAATAGCTAATTGAAATACACTACGTTACTGCACTACACTACGCTAAATATACAGATACGCGGGTCAGAGGGTATACCAATGCCTCCCGAAGCGCATTACTAAGATCATTACATTTATTAATGATTTATAAGAATTTATTAATTATTACACTTACTTTTACTTACATTTATTAAGATCGTAGTTTTTTATATAATTGCTCTCCATATGCCTATTTAGTGGACGACCAGGCCTGTAAGTGTTGTCAGTAATATATTTATTTTTCGTTTAAATATCCGTGAACGTTTTACCTTACATAAACAGTTACACATTAACCGCAATCACAACTTCTGAGGAGAATTCCCTGATGTTCCTATGCGCAAACCTTGACACAGAGTAGATTTATTTTTGCAAGGGCCGTATTTCTAGTGGCCTGATTTCGAGTCAACGAGTTCACTTTGCGAAGGTGTTGGAATAAATAGACTGCCTGTCTCCATCCAGCAGCTGGCGAGCAACTGTACAAGTGTTAGATCCTCATTTGAGATGTTCCTCGACATCGGGATTAATGAAGTAAAAAT